GTCTCGCTCTGTTGCCTAGGCTGGAGTGCAGTGGCACAGTGGCACGATTTCAGCTCATTGAACCTCTGCCTCCCAGGTTCCATCAAGTCTCCGGCATCTGCCTCCCTGAGGTAGCTGGGATTACACCGCCCGCCACCACACCCAGCTAATTTTGTGTTTTTTTCTTTTTGAGATGGAGTTTCGCTCTTGTTGCCCAGGCTGGAGTGCAATGGCGTAATCTTGGCTCACTGTAACCTCCGCCTCCCTAGTTCAAGCGATTCTCCGGCCTCAGCCTCCCAAGTAGCTGGAATTACAGACATGCGCCACCATATGCTGCTAATTTTGTATTTTTAGTAGCAATGAGGTTTCTTCACATTGGTCAGGCTGGTCTCAAACTCCTGACCTCAAGTGATCCTCCCATCTTGGCCTCCCAAAGTGCTAGGATTACAGGTGTGAGGCACCATGCCTGGCCCCCTGCCCCGATTTTTTAGGGTCAGGGGTACATATGCAGGTTTGTTACTCGGATTTATTGTGTGGCACTGAGGTTTGGGCCTTGATCAAACCCATCACCCAAAGAATGAAGACGGTTCCGAGTAGGCGGCTCTTCTCGCCCTGGCCCTTTCTTCCTCCCACGGTCCCCACTGTGCACTGTTCCCATCCCTATGTCCACGTAGAGGGGAGAGTGTGGAGCTCCCCCTTAGGAGAATATGCAGTATGTGGACTTCTGTTTCTGTGTTAGTATTTCTGCCAGTTCTTCTTCATAACTTCTTATTTCTTTTGATGTATGTTATTCCCGCATATATTTATTCAAGGCTCCCAAACATGTTTATTTTAAAGTTCTTCTCAGAATGGTTGCTGATTCAGGTGGCCCCTTAGCATTTGCTGAGTTCACGTGCATGGGAATTTGCTCTCCACCAGCTCATCTTAACTGGGAGATTCTCTCTCCACTGTCTGTCTTTCTCAGTGTCTCTTTGCTCACCTCCCCCTAGGCACCTAGTCCATGTGGGGCCCTTGTCCAGAAACCAGCCATGTTGTCGTTGTTGAAGGTATCAGATGCAGTCACTGGCTGGCCCAGCAGTTCCCTGGCAGGAGGCCACCTACACGTTTTGTCTTCTCAGAGATGCTTGGCTTCATGGCAGTCGTCCCAGCAGCTGCAGGTGGCAGTAGCTTTCTCTTCTCCCGTGAGCACTGCAGTTCCTGCCACCCAACAAGAGCTCCATTCCTTGCAGGGTCTGCCTTCTTTGGGTTCCAGAGTGCGGCAGGGCTTTCCCTTCGGCTCCTTCTCACCACCATGCATTTCCACCCCACACTGCCCCTCAGCCACGCCCATGCTGTTTCAAGTCTCCTACAATTCTACATTTTCCCTCTTTATTTTTCATCTACCACTGGCACATATTTAGAGCAGGTATGTGTGTGTGGCAAGGGTGCTTCGGGGCACATGTTCATAAAACCGTCTTAGCAGAAGTCCTTAGGCCAAGTTTCTCATGTCTCACAGAACTACTGCAAATGTCAAAATCACTTTTAAAAATGTCTAAGCTGCACTATATTTTCAACAGGCAGAACCCTGTCACTCAGGATTTTTTTATTTTCAGAGATACCCGTGGATAACGAAGAGATTTTTCTTAAAAGTCCTTGGATATTCCATTTTGGGGTTTGCCATGAACAACACATTTCTCAACACTTTATATTATTCTTACTGCTGGTAAATAGCATTTTAATAGTATACTCCCCTTCATTTGGTACCTGTTTTTATTTGTTAAAACAAAATTTAATGGGATTTTGTATTTCAAAATATTAGTTTCCTAGCAAAATTTATATATTCTAATTATCAGCTTATATGTCATACATATACATAATTTTCTAGCAGAAAAGGGCACGCGATATTAAAAAAATCGTTGATATATTTGTCCCATTTGTTCTTCTTAGATGTATTAAGTTCCTCCTCTTTTCCCTAGTACTTTCTACATTATGGAAGCTGTGAAAATTGGGGCAGGAGTAAGGTTTATTACATTTAGTTCACCTTAGCACCTGGTTGCCAAAATGCCTCCTACCTGGTTCTGGCTTTTGTTTTATTAATGACAGCGAGATCATAAAGTCATATTAAAATTGCTCAGTAGGTCAAGCCCTCTGTCTTAGGAATGAGGCAAGCACACTTCTTTCTTCTTCTAGACCCATTGTTTAGAACTGTACCTTTTATTACCAAGAAAAAAGGTAAAAGACTTGATGGAAAGCCTCCACAGCCTCCAGGCTGTGGACTCTGTACCCTTGTAAAGATCACTCACCTGAGTAAAGTCTAGTCTCAGATGCTTAGACTAGACTAGCTGTAGAAGCTGTGTGCTGGGTACCCCGTCCCCCACAACACACAGCCATCTTCGGTCTAGCCAGTGAGCGTTTATTAAATATCCACTAGGTACGCAGCATTGTGCTGTCTGCTAGAAATGCGACACAGACTCAAACATCAGTAAGATGGGTCCCCAGCACCAAGGGTAACAGAACTCATGAGGAAAAAGGCACATTCAGAATTTCAAGCCACAATCAAATTCAAGGTAGCCCCTAAAATCAAAGTGCCACGTGTAAGAGATTAGGAAAATGCCGGGGACGATGACAAGAGAAGAACCTGTGTGTTTAGTTGATCAGTTTTCCAAGTGGGAAAGCAAAACTGGCAAAATGGGGCATTGGACCTAGAAATTCTGGAAGTGAGAGCACTTCCAAAGCAGTGTGCAGCGAAATCTTGCAGGGCTGAGGATGGACGGAATGCGGAAAGGAGGACAAGGAGGCAGGCAGCGGAGACACTCTTTCACCAATCTACTTACAGCCTGATATTCCTTATTATTTTCAGGATAGATACAATCACATTTTAACTTAGTCTGTAACATGTACTGAAAAAAAGAAGATAATGCGAAGCAATTCTCCAACACAGTAAAAGGTAAATGACCCATGTTTATGGTATAATCCCTTTCCAATACTTTACACACACACACTGCAAGCACATTTCATTTCTTTGCCTTCAGTGTGTATTAGTCCATTCTATTCTCGAATTGCTATTAAAAAATGCCTGAGACTGAGTAATTTACAAAGAAAAGAGGTATAATTGGCTCATGGTTCTGCAGGCTGTAGAGGAAGCATGGCTGAGGAGGCCTCAGGAAACTTACAATCGTAATAGAAGGACAAGGGGAGGCAGGCATGTCTTATGAGGTGGAACAGGAGGAAGCAGGGGGACGGAGGTGCTACACACCTTTAAACAACCAGGTTGAGTGAGAACTCCATCACCAGAACAGCACCCAAAGGGGAAATCTACCCCCATGATCTGATCCTATCACCTCCCACCAGGCCCCACTTCCAACTCATCTGACATGAGATTTGGCATTGAGATACAGATCTAAACCATATCACAGTGTAAATATGTTGTTTATGTATTTAAGATTTAGCTTTTTCCTCCAAGTATCATCTTAGTTTATAAAATGCTAGAGAACAATTTAACCACAAATGTATTTCTGGGTTGGTAAGAATATGTATTTTTTAAAAAATAAGATTAAATTCCTGTTTTAAGGGCTGTTTATAGCACTCATTTCTCTGTAAAAACTCCCTGGAAGTTCTAACCTAAAATGTGACTAAATATTAGGGACATGGGGATGTAATGAAGGAAGCAGAGTTGAAAGATATATTTCTTCATTTTCTAGTAAAGTAGCACATACCCTACTCAGGAAAAATTAATCCTCTAGAATATATCTTTTTTGCTTGTTTGTTTAGAAGACAAAATTAGCAACACTAGCCTTTCTAGCCTTAAGCAAAGGAGAGTTCGGTTATTTAACTTTCTAGATCAAATAATTAGATGAACTTTCACAGGCCTGGGCTACTGTGGAAGGCTGCCTGCCCTCAAATGTCTGCTATTTGGACCTTTATTAAATCCTTTTACTTTATTTTTTTGCTAAAGACCATCCTCTAAATTGATATATCTACTAAAAGGATTTGTAAGATGATTTATATAATAATATTGACATTTTTCGAAATTTTATTTAATAAAAAAATGAATGTATTGGTGGTTAGAAAATTAAATGACCTTTAGGGTACTAAATATAGCTAAACATAGTTGATATATTGGTATCACTTGTTTTTCTTAGATGTATTCATCTTTTTCCTGGTACTTCTTATTTTCTAAAGCCTGTGAAAACTGAGGCAGGAAAAGGTTTTTTACATATGGCTGGTCTCAGAACCTGGTTTTCATAATATTTTGAGAAAAATTTTAAAGTAAGTTCAAAGTTTAATCAGGAATTTAAAAGTATTATTACTTTTTGTCCTCATATTTATTCCTATTATGGGATACTTCCTTTTTTTAAGAGAGTGTCTTGTTCTGTTGTCTCTTACTACTTGGTACTTTTAGGATTTACGTAGATTTTGGTTTTAGATAGGAGATGCTTAGAAATATTAATATATCAGTGCTGATTGAAATAGCTGTAACTTTTTGAATAGTGCAACTAAAATAATTTAAAGGATATCTAAAATGATATAGTAGAAACTTAAATTTTCAAAAACGGACTTACAGATTAAAAACGTCTTCTTTCTCAACCCAGCCCAGCACAGATTCGTCTAGCTTCAGTACAGCCCTTTATCGTGCATTTCAGTCTCCCCATGTATAAAATGGAGTAACAGAAAAGCCCATGGTTTTATTTTTATACATCGTTTCTTGGATATCATTTAAGTACGATTTTTACATGTACCAGAATCCAGTGGTACAATGAACAGAAGATGGTAGCATGTCTATTTTTTATTTTCTATGTGGTATCAAAATTAACATGCAGCTCAGAATATCATCCTGCAGTCTTGAGCAACGACAGTGAAATAATTTATCAGCCTGGAAATTCTCATGGCCTGAACATATACCAGTTATGGGAATGTTCATGATTTAAGAATCATAGGTATTTCTGTTAATTTCTAGCTGCTCTTAAACATTTGTCAATAAACGAATGCTGGTTGGGACCTACAATGAACTGTAGTTTAGATACTGATACACCACTCACACCTAACACAAATGGGGACTTTTAATGACAGTCAGAAAAACAAGAATACTTCACCTTGATTTAGAGCCTTCTATGTGATGGTCTTGCATCACGCACTAGGTGTTTCACATATGCAATTTGTTTTTTATTAGAAAAATAACACTGCAGAGAGCCCATAACTGCTTTCCAGGAAACCTGAATCTTCTCTTTAACGATGCTACACATACTTGCTTTGGATACCAGCAATCTAACCGCCAGCTTTGCAAACTAATTCTCCAAGAGGCAAGTCATTCTTGGTAACAGCATCCTGAAGCATGGAGCTCCTGAGGCTGGAGCTCACTTAACCTGGTGCCAGGAATCTGTAAAGCACGTGTGGAAGGAACCCAGTGAGAGTCCGCTGGGCGGGCACGAGGATCTCACATGGTAAAAACTCGAGTCTATCGGGAAGCACAGGAGCTCAAAGGCATAAGGAAATCGAACGCTAGAACATGAAGATGTCATTTAGACACAGACGCTTTTCTGCAAGTCACCACACTTTAATTTTAATAAAGGAGACTAGAGATCTATTGAAGAATTCATTCCCCCATGGCACGGGTTCCATGCCCCAGGCTCCTCTGCTGAGACGCCTCCTTATGTAGCTGGACTGGAAGAGTGCTGCAGAAAAGGCAGAACCAAGTGGAGATGACAGAATTCTCTAATTGCCTGCAAAAGAGGAAATCCAGTTGGTGGAGAGTAAAATTATTTCCCCACTGGAAAAAAAAGCAATGACCAAAATAAAAAGGCTTTGTCAAATAAAGTTCACTCTTCTCATTACTTGCCTTAGTGTTTCAAAGATGAACGCTTTTTGTTAGGACACGTCACAGATAAGGTAAGAATGCAGAGTCACCTGACTGACTGCATGGGGGAGACTGTTGGGATGTGTCCCACTGCCAAAAAAGGGGGAGGGGCTGTGTAAAAAGGACAATGAAGAAGAATTCCTACAATTCACAAAGCTAGCTACTGAAATTAATCTCAGGGTTCCACGTCCACGGGCCACGTACAGGATTTAAGACGACGCTCACGTGGCACCTGTCAGTGCTAACCTGGGCGCATCAAAGCGTTCCCTGGACGTTCTCCGCGCCGGTTAAGGATTTGCAGATAACAATGTGTCTGAGAGAAGAGGCATTTTCTAAGGAGACAAAGGGAGTGGGCCCTCCAGCCTCGCTCTGCCGGAGGAGCACGCCCTGCATTGGGGGGCTCCAACCCCGGGAGCGGCGGGGTGGGGGCCTAGGAAACGCTGGCACGGTTCAGAAAACAGGACCCTTGAAATGTACACAGCCTAATAACGTTTCGTCCAACGAAGAAAACAGCTTGAAAAGGTCGGCTTCGAAGCGACCCCAGCAGAAAGGAGTCCCACTGGAGGAAAAACGCGCAGCAGCCCCGGGGCAAGGCGCGGGCGGGCGGGTGGAGCGGGAGCACCGGGCCCTCGGGGGCGGCCGCGGGGCAGGAGTGGGGGCCGCACCCGCCCTGAGCCCAGTACCTGGGTCGCCACGCCCACCTGTCTACACCCAGCGCCGCCCGTCCGA